AAACTACGTAGAGAGGGTTAAATATTTATTGGATAGTACATTAACACACGCTAGTATTTAAATATAACAAAAATAATATGCAATTCTTTTGAAAAAATAAGTTGACAACGTTCATTTTAAATAAAAATTATGATTTTAGTATTTAAATCTATATCAAATAATTAAATTTTGTTTTTAAGTTAAAATATATATATATATATATATATAAAATAAAATAAAATAAAAGTGATATTAAATTTTTGGTAGAGAAACACAAATCTTCTCATAAATTTTAAATGAAAATGATTGATAATAAAATTTTACGATTAAAATATATAAAGAAAATCTTATTTTTGATAGAACGAGGAACGGTTCTCTTCTCAACAAAGGAAAAAAACTTAAACTTTATCATAGAGAAAAAAGATAAGATGAATAATATTATTAAAAAATTATTATAAATTATAAAAGTTAATATTTTTCAAACAAGATAGTAACTTATTATATTCTTTAATAAGTATACTTAAAAATAATAATATAACTAATAAAAGAAGATTAATAAAAATTTTAAATTTTATAAATGACAAATGTTTAAAAATATTTTTTCAAAAAAATCGAGAATTATAAAAAGATATAAGAAATAACATTTATATAATGGTGTGAGAGAAAATAAAAAGTCTAAGTACTCTTCAAAATAAAAATATAACCCATAGATAAAAAATTAATATCTTATCCTAGATCAAACAATTAATTATAATATAATAAAATAATTATTCTACAAACTATATCTAAAAAGGAGAGTAAGTACACTAAAATAAAAACCACACGCCACCTACAAGTACTATTGTCAGTTTTTTCTTTTTTCTTTTTTTAATGAAATTGTTGAAGCAAATGGATTACAAATTCATTAATCATTATGCAATTTAAATTTCGAAATTTTGAAGTATTTTTATTTCTATTTATTTTAAAACCAACAATAATTTTTTATTTATCATTTATATCTTTATTTTCAATCTAATATAATTTTTATTTTGTGTGATGTAAAAATGAGAGTGATGAAATAAGAAATCTTATAAATATTTTATTAAAATAAAATAAACATGATCACATTTCTTAGATTTTAGAAGATAAAAAAAATGAAAGAAATACTTTTAACAAATATGTTTTAAGGAAATAGAAAAAACAGTGACCTAATTACTCTATGTCACCTGTAACGTATCAACAATTTACTTTTATTGGATAAAATAAAATTCATTACTATTTATACAAATAAAATTCAATTCTACGAAGAAGACGAAGAAGTAAAAAAAAAAAAATGGCAGTAAAATTGTAAGAAAAAAGAAGAAGAAGTGGCAGTAGAATTGAGATCGCGTTGAAAAAAGTTTCCCAATACAATCTTTTGCTTCTTTTTTAAGTAAAAACGAAGCAGTGAATAATGTTGTAGGGTTAAGAAAGGGGACTGGTGACGCGTGTAAATTGTTTTTTATTATATATATATATATATATATATATATATATTATCTTTTACATTCTATAATTTTTATTTTTAAATAAATAAAGTTTTATAACTGTTTATTTTAACGTAATTTTTTAATATTTTTTTTATCTTTCCTATTATATAATTTAAAAATAAATAAATTTATTTGTAATATTTTTTATTTTATTTTTTAGATAATTTTAAATTTTATATAATTTAATATACATTTCTCTCTTAATCTAACTAAAAAATTTTAAAATTAATAATATTTTAAATGTGACATAAATTATAATAAAATAATTATAACAAACTTAAGATTTAAAATCTACAACAATATTTTGAGCTGTTTTCCTGATACTATCATGTTATATTTATATAAATTTATTTAAATTTTATTATTTTTTTCTTATCTTACCTGTGTTTATTTTTTTTATAAATTTCTCATTCTATAATTAATTTCTTACTAATAATAAAAAAATAAAATGTTTTTTAAAATCATACTTCAAAATAATTTAAAATATATTTATAAATTTATTTTGAATAATAAGATAATTTAATTTGTATATAAAAATACATATTGATAATAAAATAAATTCTTTAATATACTTTAAACTAAGATAAGTATTTTCAAAATTATAAAATATTTATTTAATTAATTAGATAATATTTTTTATGATAAATATTATAAAACTTATTATTTTAATAAGAAATTATTTTTTTTATATTTAATAAATCGATGTTCACTTAATTATCTAATTTTCATTTCAATCAATAAATTATTTGACTAATATTCATATTATTTAAAATTTTTAAAATATGTATCTTAATTTAAATTTTTTAAATATAAATATTTATTTTATTTAGGTTAGACTAAATAATACAATTCAGAATATATTTTTAAAAAAATTTAAAATTATTTTGAATTATTTTAAATTTAATCAAATTTTTATTTTTAATAACGTATGAAGAATAAATTATATTATTATTTAAAATATATTTTAAAACAATGTTGTAATAACAAAAGAAAAATAAAATGAAAAAATAAAAATATTAGATGAAAAGTAATAAGTTGTATAATTTTAAGTAATTATGTATAAATATATATATATATTGAAATTGCTCCAACATTTTGTAATAATAATAAAAAGAAAATCTTGCACTCTACACACTGAAATCTTGGAAAACTCACCATACGTGGCCCATGACAATGATCACTCGGGGCAGCCATTCCAATGCTATGCCCTTCCTAAACTCCACATTTTCTTAATTCATTCATTATTTATTCACTTATTCCTAATTTTTTTATTAATCATATTTTTAATAATTTATTAATCTCTATAAAATATGAGGTATGTAGAATAATTTTAAATGGTTGAATTCTACTTGTATTTCACAAGGTCTTTCAAGTCTCATTAGTATATGATCTTGGTAATTTATATTTTAATTGAATTATTTAGGTCTTTAGGCATTACACCAACGTATTTTATTCTATGGTATTTGAACATGAGAACCAAATCATATGAAAAACTTAATTATTATTAATAAACTTTAGAATATTAATCTTACAATACGATATTATATTATTAAAAAAAGGAGTAACTTTTCGTCATATTATATATTCACACTAAGAAGAAACAAAAAAAAAAATCAAAAGAAAGGATCAATTTTGAACAAATTAAGGAAAATTAGCACTATTTAAAATAATGAAACTTGAAAGGTGTGGGATAATTTATAAGTTGGTTCCTAAAGTTTAGGTGCAATGGATGAAAAGTTGAAACATAGTTGTATCCGAAAATGATTTTGTTGCATAATTAATTACCATGCTTTTTTCAAAAGTCAGACCAACGAGATCAAACCTTAATTAAGTCCTTGATTTTGTCTGCTAGCTGATCTGGTAGCATAATCAAATGCTATCATCAATTGAGGTGATGCACACTATTCTTCATCACAAAATCACTGCTTTTTTCTTTCTGTTTTTGTCCTACACATATTTAGTATTCACAAATCACATCACCCTTTATTATCTACAAATTTTAATAAAATTCAGTACACTTATTTAAGGTAATAAACCTCAGTTTCCCTCACTTACTTTAATCGTTCACTGAATTCAATTTAAGAACCAATTTCCTTATCACTTAATCAGAAAGTGGTAGTTTCAGTGTTACTTTTTCAAAACCTAATAAACTATCTTTATGATTTTTCATTTCATACTTCGAACATTTAAACTCTCTGCATTTCACCACTTTATTTCACCGAAAATTCTTTAACTTGTAGTTTCTACCATTTATCTAGGATTGAGAATTATTCTGAATAAACGTTAATGATACGATGATTAGTGTTGAGAATCCAAAATATGAATTGAATTCCAATTGATAAAGTTGTATAACTTTTGTAAAAACTCTTAATTTAAATCTAATTTTTAAAGTTCAAATTTTGACTTTAAGATATATTAAAATTCTAATTCTAAATCAATACTATATAACTTGTATACATGAGTCATGAATATCTAGTTGAACATACTAAAAATGTTTTCAACACACAAAAAAGTGTTAAAAGATCGGATATTTAATACTAATACATATATGTATATACCCAACAACCATGAAGGTGGTGAATACTAATTTGGAAACACATTTAAGAGTATGATGAAGAAACATATAATAAATGAGATGCAGTGATAGTGGAATGGTATGTTACTGTGTTGAAAGGTGAGAGAGAGAGAGAGAGAGAGAGAGAGAGGTTGAAAGTAAAGGAAGGATGTATATTAGACAAATTGTATCTAGGGAAGCACATGGAATATGTAATACTTTCAGGCAGGAAATTGTCCCTTTTCCAAAATTATAGCAAACAATTGTCCTTTAGTAGTTAGGACCACAGAACAGTAACAGAAACAGGAATGAAGAAGCAAAGTGATAGGAAGAAGGAACCAAAGTGAACAGTTTCGGTTTTGGCTGTTTCGGTTGGGGGGAAGGAGGGGGAGAGAATGAATGACTGACTTAGTAAAAAAGTGGAAAAAGAAAAAGACACAAAACTGGAGCAGTGTACCAACAAAACAAAGCCACCCCATTGCTCGAGAAAACTTTGAAGTGTTGCTTTCATCAGTGCAAAAAGACAGTGCTAACAGAGGAAGCAAAAAGGCCTCACACACCCCCCACACACCACCCCCTCGCCTCATTCCACCCTCTCTTCCCTTCCTTCTCTTCTCTTCTTCACTCTGATTCCATTTCTCTCTTAACCACGTATGCATGCAAGGGTCATTCATTTCCTTCCCTTACTTCCAAAAGTGGGAGCATCTCAATCTCACTGACCTCATCATCTTCATCCACCACCATATATAGTACTATCACATCATTTTTCACATCTCACATGTGTATATATATACCATATATCACATCATATTATTATTATTATTATTATTAATTGTAAAATAATAATAACAATATGTTAATATATTAATATATGCTACTATATAGCATCATCATCAGCTAGCAGTACCACTTCAATATCTGGCATATCAAAGGTTCACCTCTCTTGCTCAAAAATAGATATGGAATCTGAGAGGCCTAACACTACTATTGAGACCTACAAACAACAACAAGAACTAGAAGAAGAAGATGACGACGATGAAGAAGAAGAAGAAAACAATGAGATCCTCAAGAGAAGAATTTCCAGCCACCCTCTCTATGGACTGCTGGTTGAAACTCACTTGGACTGTTTGAAGGTTCCTTGTCTCTTTCCCTTTTAACTCCTTCTTTCTTCTGTATACTCTTTCCAACCCTATCTTACATTAATTTATGTAGAAATGCATTGAATTCAACTTGAACTCTGTGTTTAATGACTATAACATTTACTATGTTTCTTGATTTCTCAGAAAACTAATTATATATGTGATTCAAACTATTATGTTTTTCTCAATGTGAATTAGTGTTAACAAGGGAATTGCTTTCTCTTTCACTTACAAAAGAGGCTTTCATCTTATTCATCTTGTTGAATCTTGAATAATGGTAAAAAGACCAAGGATTATCTTGCAGACTGAATTCTTTTTGGCCTATATAATATGGTGAAGGGAGCAGATTCATATATTTGCAGGCTGAAGTTCAACACCAGTTTGGCACTTCTGGTTAATTTTATATATAATTAAATTGCATCTTAAAAGTTGAGATTATATGAATGAATTTAAAGGTCCAATGGAAGTGAAAAAAAATAAGTTTACTCCTCAAATTCAAACCCTGTAGATTTAAACATTTTATTGGTGATAAACTGTGTAGATTATGTATAAGTCCTTGGGTATTCATGTGTCTTCGTGTGTCTGTGAAGTTAGTTCACATAAAAAAACAAAAAGCTTGTCCACATCATTTTAACATGAATAATAACCCTTCTTGAAAGTGAAGTTTTCCTTATAATGATATCAACCACTTATAGTTTGATCAACTGTACACTAATTAACTTGTTGGTGCACCTTGTGTACAGAAGATATCAGAAAACCAAAGGTCCTTTATTCTTTTGATTCAAGCATGAAACTTTGAAGATGCATGACGTTAGTACACTTCTTTTCAGGTTGGTGACATTTCTAACTTGGAGAGAGAGCTGAAGATAGATCAGATGCAAGCAACGGAGAAGCAAAACTTGGGCATGTTCAGCCAATCTGAGCTTGATCTCTTCATGGTAATACTAACACACACTCTCCCACTTTCTCACTTGTGTGGTTTGGTTTACCCAAACATCAATGTATGAATGAATGAATGCTTTTATGAGATATGATGGGTCAGGTACTGAACGAAAGTCAGTCAAATATATAACCTAACACACCAATGAGAAATGAATTTTCTTCATTTCGATGGACACTTCATGGTTGCCAAAAGCATGTGCTTCCTGCTTGAAAGAGACTACACTCAGAAATGCGCATAGTTTTTTGTTCCAATTCCATGACTGTGACACTTTTCCTATCTGTCTCTGTGTTTGTGCTAGTGTTCAGATGGTGTCTTTTCACATTTACTTTAGGCCGCAAAGGTCATTAGAGGATGGTTATTACTCACCATATAATTGCCATAACCACCACCACCGTCAAGTAATATAGAAAGATAGATTTTCTACTTTGAATTCACCCAAATATATTATGTTAGTTACTCACATGTTAGATTTTATGTATATATCTTTAGTTTATTTAAATCTTTACAGTCTTAGTTAACGGAAACAAATGATTAAAAATGTATGTATAAGATTAAAACCAGTAACTTTTAGAATATATACAATATCTCAGAAAATTAGTTGGTGACTTTGGTATTAATAATCCAACACATCGATCATATATGGGGTATGCTATCATTAAATAATACTCAGGAAAGTTCTGTCATCATCTCTGGGACATGAGTTAGTGAAATACTTTTTGACGCAAGTAGTATCACTTTGGTATAAAACTTTGAATGGACTGCACCATGCACCATCTCTTTGAATTGCTCATTTTTAGGAGACAGACCCACCACCTGCAGCTACATACTTCTGGAAACTTTCATCATTGTTCAAAGAATTTAGGGAAGCATTGTTGATACCAATTCTGAGTTCTTCATATATACATACATACTTACTCATTAGAGTTCAACTACAAATAACTCGTTGATAATGTTTACTCTATTAGTTTCATGTCTAATATTTTTTAACCTTTTGTTCTCTTAATACAATAAGCAAAAAGTTATATATTAGACCATTCTTTAACTTTTTAACTTTTTTTGAACCTGACATTATATCAGCATATTTTTTTTCGTCTAAAGATTAAAGCAAAAAAAAAAAAAGTGTGTTAAATATTGAGACGAATATGCAGCTTTTTTGAACCAAAATAAAAAGTGTTGTCTTCTGTATAGGACTAAATATTTGACAATATTATTATAGCATTGGCAAACAACAGAAATAATTTGTAAACATTTTTTTTCTTTTATATAGGAAACCAAATCAAATAATATAGGATATTTTTTTTGAAAAACTAAAACAAATAAACATATTTAATTTAGTACTTATAATTACAGTAAAAAGTATAGTGCTTCTTTCTTTTGGAAAACAAAACTAAACAATTAGCTGAGGAATTCTTCAATTTCTTAAACCAAACCATGGATGCAGGAAGCATATTGCTTGGCACTTGGGAAGCTGAAAGAAGCAATGGTGGAACCACAACAGAAGTCCATGGCTTTCATAAACAACATGCATTCACAACTTAGGGAGATGACTAAGCCAACCTTGCCTGCACCACCTCCTGAACCTGCACCACCTCCTGCATCTTCTAGTGACTGCAACTTCAGAAGAAATTAGCCACAATTTAGTTTTTCAGTGTGCATGCATGCATGCATCACACTATAATATTATTTCCAGCTATAGCTAGGTTTTTAATTAAGCCTTCAATTACTCTGAAATTGTCATATTCCTGCTTAATTAAACTCTACCTCATTATATTATTTATAAATTAACTGCCATGACTATTATTATGTATAAATGTTATTGCGAGCGATTAATTAAAATCTAGTATTGCCTTTATTTCTTTTTTTACATTAATATTTAGGGTTGTGTTTATAAGTATCTTAATAACATTGTTAAGGAATTAAACGATAATTTTTTTATTATTAGTAATTTCGATGAATGTATGGTAATATTTTTTATCACCATTTTTTTATTTTAGTATTCTCTAATAATTATATTTTTTTTATAAAAGGTTAACAGGTTAAATATCACTACGAAATAATCACATTCTAATAAAGTTAACATCTGAATCCACCAATCATGTTAATGATTAATTTTTTAAAAGAAATCTCGTTTTTTTTAACAAGAAACAAAGTGATTTTTTCTTGAAAATAAGTTATTAAACTCTAAGATTGTTAATACTTCAATTTCTTTATTTTCTTCCCAATAATTATAACCCTAAAAAGTGCTAATAACACACTCTCTAACAGTACTTCTATGATGTAGGAGGTTTGAAATCGACCTAACATTTAATCACATGAACTAAATTAATTTCAATAGCTTCTTGAAATAAAATTAAATAAAAACTAATATTAAAGAAAAAGCTTCTTGAATGTATTACATTTGCAATAGTAGTGACAATATTCATATCCGAAAAGACTAGAAAGAGTTTAAATATTATTTGACCTATTAATAAAACAATATTACAACCCAAAACCTAAAATATAATTTAGTTAAATACTTTAGGTCAACGTAGCTTTATAGATTAAAGACAATCTTATATAAAAATATTTTGGTATATTTGGAACAGAAATATTATGTTTTTCCTATCTTGCGTTTTATCCAAGATTAATAAAAATATTTGGAAAAATAAAATTGTGAATAGCTGAACTCAAATCTATTTAACTAGGTGTAGTAATGTTCATTATCGATAGTTAAATTTGGTCTATCATGTAAATTTAGAATCCGTCGTTGATTGAGTTGTCATTGCATGTAAGAGATACAATAATGAGTTTTTATCTATCATTGTATGTGACATATAATGACGGTTATTTACAAAAACCCATCATTGTATTCCTTATATACAATGACATATGTGATTATACCCGTCGTTGAAGTTTTGCATAAAATGTGCATATGACGACGTTTATGATATTAACTGTCGTTATATCTTGGGTTTTTTTTAAAGTAATTTGTTTTAAACTCTTTCCCATTACCTGCATATTTAAAATATACAATACAAACACTAGTGCAAAAAAGGGCTTTTACGTCAGGTATTTAGGCCTTTTTACGTCGTATTTAAGTCCGACGTTAAAGCGGGAGACGTAAATTTACGTCGGACCCTTTTGCCCGACGTAGATTTACGTCGGTTATCAAGATCCGACGTAGATTTACACTAAACGAGACGTAAAAACCTTTTCAATTTAAAAAAAAAAAAGAAAATTTACGTCGCATATACCAATATGCGACGTAAATTTACTCTGTTTTTTTAAATTGGGTTTATTTATTCTGTTTTACAACTAAAACCTGCAAATATTACAACCAGACAGATCCGGATGTTCAGTTTTCTTTAGCTAGTAAATTAAAAATATAATATTATATAATTCAAACTACATAATAAAACAATATAATACAAACATACAAACTAAAAAATCTATTACAAACTAAGCTACCTATACAAACTAAGCTACCTATACAAACTAAACTAAACTACATAATACACACAATATAATATGAACAAGAACTTAAAAAATAATGTACTAGAATTGTTGAACAAAAAATTTTGCCCATTGTTCTCTAATTTCTATAATCTCGGATTCTCGGTAATGGAGATGGATCTTGAAATACCTGAAACATGAATTTGACTCTTGTAAGCATGCAACATGAATAAAGTTAAATAAACTTAACTAATGTTAAAAGTAATTACCTCCGATCCAAGAATCAATTAAACCCGCACAAACTATGTCTCTCATCCAATACATTACATAGTAACCACATTCAAACGAGTCAGTTTGCTTATTACATCTGAAATGATGAAAAAAACATAATATTATTTTCAAAATTGAAATACAAACAATAATTATGGTATTCACTTATATAAATAAGTTTCTAACCTTAGGATAAATGAACTGCAAAGTCTTTGTTCTAGGTTTTCCACTTAGAACATTAGTTCCGAGACTACGATTCTAAGTGAAAAAAAGTCATATATTATTCAATATGTATTCACAATTTAAAAACATAATTAATGAATAAAAGATAAAGTTACCCTTGTAATAAGCTTTTCATTTCTTGACTCGGTTTCCGATGTAATGAACAAAACCACACCACGAGTGTAATCCGGGGCATGATTACAATTAACTGCCAATGGGACCTACATTGTATGACATAAAAATTAGTTACAAAAATATAAATTAAAATACAAATTAAAATACTAACCCTTCAATGTATGGAGCCAAATATATATGTCTTCTTGAGTCACTCATCCATGTTTGCATATATTGTTGGATTCCAACCTTTGTATTTCAGCATTTTTGGATGGATTGAGGCTCAATAAATCCGTATACTTCGGATTTTTCTTGTTCCACACTCAAATTGTCAAGGTACCTAAAACAATTAATTATAAGTTGAATATAATTATTATAATCTTAGAAACATAAATGAAAATGACTTACATTGCCCACAATTGTATGATGGAAATGTTTAACATGCAATTTCCTCCAAGCAATTTCTAAAGCATCGGGCAAGAAAATGTACAATGGAACACTTGGAATTGTCAATTCCAAACACTCTAACATCCCATTGTATCCGACACGGTCTCTTCCTCAACCGTGGTAATACTGCTAACAACATAGAGATGAGATCATCATCACATTCCGTCAGATCCTCATCAATAATAGGTTGTTTTTTATGCTTAGCACGACGCAAGTCCTCCTAAACAAATGATAACAATTAATTAAACATTTATATAATTATAATACTAGAAAAGAGTAAATAGACAATATGTATATATATATATATATATATATATATATATATATATTACCTTGGTCTCGTGCCTGATAGTGGCATAACCAAACGTCTTGGCCAAGCCAAGAATGTCCCGCTTGCCTGCCCCACTAATTGAATCTCTTCATTAGGAAAAGGCACTGGAGCATTAGCATCATGAACTTCATCAACTACTACTCGTGTCCGAGTCTCGGGTCGTAGAGGGACACCATGGATAGTTAAGCCACCCTCAAAAACTCGACCAACAACCACTAGACGCGGGGTCATCTTCAACATATAACTCACACTCGGTGTGATGCATCGATCTGAGTATATTCTCCTGAAGGATCAACGAGTAGTAGCAGCACAACTCCCTTTAGTGCCGACTCGAACAATATCATGTTCAATTGTTTGAGGTGTTCCTTGAGTCTCATTGTCGAGAGCGGGCGAGAGATTCAATTTTCTCATCAAACTCTTGCCTGCAAGGACTGCCTTATTTGATTTAACTTTTCTTCAAACTGCATCTCCATTTTATGCAAGGCCTCCTGGCTGCAAGAGTCGGCGAGTGGTCCTTCGTGATGTTGGACCAAAGTAATCACGAAGGCCCCGGGTTCCACCAGCACCACGCACACGTCCCGAGTAATCTGGTTTTCCTATGGTCTGTCACCAATATATCTTGTCGACCATGAGGAATAAATGATCCTTGGTCGAGTCTGCTCAACTAAATCATCCTACAACACATTAACAATAATTAAGTCATACACTAACTTTCAAATTAGAATCAATTCAAATTGACATTATAACTTACGATTTTCTCGAGCAATGATTCGTGCGGACTCGGAAGTCATTTGTCCATCGAATTTTGTCCGGCTGCCTTCCACATCTCGATAGCGAGGGGTGGAGATGCAAGGTCGGTAGAATCAACTCCTGCCGACTCTTCTCTGGATTTCATGAGACGTTGCTCCAATAATGCATACCCTCCTCGTGACAATACATGGGGTGCATCATTCAACCTCCGACGTTGTTGGGCGGCTTGTCTTTTATCCCGCCAAGAGGGGTCCATTCGGGCTGGCACAAAACCGTAACCAATCCTCCTCACTAATTTGATACTTTATACGGGGAGATTCATCTCGAAACTTTTCAAATACATACTTCCGTGTCAAGAAAGTCTTAAAGTCCCTCCATCTAATGACAATGGAGGATAAAATCTTCTTCCTCATCACCTCGGTGTTGGGAACATCAAAATTTTGTCTGTGAAATGACCAATAAATGTTAAATTCAATTAATAATGATATATAAAGTATTCAACAAATATAGAAATACCTGAACATCCTGCCACATGAGGTTCTTCTCGGTTTCCTCAACATCATCCCAAGATGGAGTAGTAATCGGAACATGGTGTCGAGCTAGTAGTCCCAAATAGCTCTTAAACTTAGCGAGCATTTGGGTCGGATGCCTTACCAGAATGTGGATCAACTTCAACTTGAGTTTTCTCTCTAGCTACCCTCCTTGCTGTCAACCCCTTTAACCGAGTGACAGATCTACCTTTATCACCACTTCCGCTCCTGCCATCGCCACTACCACTACCAAGTACCAGTTGTGGAATCCGACATATCTCGAAAAACAAAACAATATGAAGTCAACATACTTTATAAGTTTGAATAAAAAGAACTAGAAAATGTGAAGATAAACACCTATTATGTTGGTATGTTTTCCCATATCCCTTCATCATGATCACTTCGAATTGCATGTATGTCATCAACTTCATTGTCACTATGTCATCAAATGGTCTACTTGAAAATGAAGGTGTTTCATGTATATCTAGAGACTCATCTTCATGAATTCAGTGCATGCTTCTTCCTTCTAGGACA